AAACATTATTAAATGTATCTACAATAACAATTTAACATACTTACACAGAGTTCATTTTAAACAGAAATCAATTGATCAATATAGACATACACTAATAATATATATATATATATATGCAATCTTGAACACAATTCCGAGCATTAATAATCATACAAAATGAAAACTTTTCAGTATCTCGCATTAGGATGAAAAATATCCAGTTACCAGGTTGGCAACGAAAGACTGATAACTGCTTCTTTCTGAACGCACAAATCAGGTTTTAGGCGCTTGATGGAAAAGGCTTCAGCAAACTTAAGGAGCATTGAACTCTTTTGCTTATTGATAATTTTGAATGACTTTTCCACGTCCACCTCATGACCCGTGTCAAGAAGATGCCTGACGATGGCACTGCCTAAAGCATTTGTTCCCTTTAGACGTAAGCTTTTTGTTACATGTTCAGAAAATCGTAGATATGCTCTTCTTTCTGTTCTTCCAATGTAACTGCTCCCGCAGATACATGTAAATTTGTATATACAGTTGGAGTTAACACGAGAAAGATATCTATCGATTTTTGATTGCATCAGAGAGCAAGTTGTTCGAAAGACGGGAACGAGCTTAGCTGCAGGATAGGCTATGGCTAGTGATGTACTCAGCCTTCTGTTGATCATCGCTGCAATGTTTTCGCCTTTATAATCAAGCTCAAAGTAGATTGGCTTTTTTCTTACTGTGATTAGTTTTTCATTTGCGACTGCAGATCTTCCATACTTGTTGATGAATCTTTGAGGGTACCCATTGCTCTTCAAAGTCTTTTCAAGAAACTCAAATTCTTCCTCTAGTTTCTCTGTAGAGCATATTCTTCTCGCTCTATAGTGCAGAGTCTTGACCAGTGCTCGTTTATAGCTATTTGGACAAAAGCTATTAAAATTTAAGTATTGTCCTTTCCATGTGGACTTACGATAAATTGACTTTTGAAGACTACCGTCTTCTAGGTGTTCCATGGCGATGTCGAGGAAGTGGAACTTCCCGTCACTTTCATGTTCCACAGTGAACTTGATATTTGCGTGTGCATCATTGAATAATCTTAGTAGGTGTGAAGCATGACTATCATTTTTGCACACTATAAATGTGTCATCAACGTAACGACAGTAGGAAGTTGTTTCATCGATTGCATGCTTCAACTTTGTTCTTTCAAGGTTGGACATGAATATATCTGCTAAAACAGGGCTAAGTGGACTGCCCATAGCTACACCATCTATTTGTCGGTAAAGAGTGTTATTAAACTGGAATTGTACATCCATGGTACACATAAGCAGTAGGCGTTTGAATTCTGACTCTGGTAGTTGAAGCAGATCAGACTGTTGACAAATGATTTCAATGGTTTCATTGATTGGGATCATTGTGAACAAGGATGTTGCATCAAATGAGACCATGAACTTATTTGAAACGTTCATATGATTCACGCTTTCGGCGAAATGAAATGAGTCTTTTACGGTATACACAGTTAGACGTCGGCGAATGGGTTCCAACTTCTCCGCAAGCCAATGGGCAACCTTATGTTGAGGAGAGTTGATCATCGAAAGTATTGGTCTTAGAGGGACTTCTTTCTTGTGTATCTTTGGAAGGCCATACATATATGGCAAGCGGGACCCTCTGGGTTTCAGTTCATTGTACGTGTTGTTGTCAATCAAATTCTTCTTTAGAAGATCTCTCAGTACATTTGTGATGCGTTTTTCAGTTGCATCTGTCTTGTCTTTCTGGCAGTCGTCGACTTTAAACCTCAATGGGTCATTCAGCACAGTTTTCATTTTTTCGATGTAGTCATCTTTATCCATCAGTACCACTCCTGAGCCTTTGTCAGGTCGCAGTATGACAATTTTGTCATTATTTCTGAGAGATTTCAATGCCTTTTGATGCTCTTCAGAGAGGAATTTGGAATATGATGTTGGAGAAATGAGGTATTGATTTGCAACGTCGACCAACTTAGATTTGAACCAGCTCTTCTTGTCATCATCAACTGGAGTGAGGTCATTCAGCTGATAGAATAAGTTTTCAAATTGAACTGCCACATCAGTTCTTCCAACAAATTTATTTGGGATGTGGAAGTTGAATCCAAGAGAAAGTGCTTCCATTTCAATGCGATTTAACTTCAGACTCGACAGATTACAGATATAATCCTCAGGATTTTCTGGGAAAACGTCACACAATTTCTCCTTTGTCAGGGATTTCGACAGAGTTTTGTAGAAATTTTCACATGTTTTCTGTTGAAGTCCTTGAATAAAATTGATGAATTTGATCCGGCATACTATATTCAAACTATTGACGACACCATCGAAAGATCGTGCTTCAGTTCTCAATTTAGAAATCAGAGATTCTGTTGAGTCAGTATGCGATTTTGTAATGCGTCGAAGATTCTTGAGAGATGGAGGTAATTTGCAAGTACGTAGTGACTTCATGAGATGGCGAGGAAAACAGTGAGACCGCAAGCATTCATGGTAAAGCTTCAATCGAGTCACTTCTCTCGATATTCTGCAACGAATTGTCACCAAATGATTCAGTGATTTGAAAGATTCGCTGGGGAGGCGTTTTTTCAGAGATTTCATACATTTGTTCCCCTTAATGAATTTGAATAAAGCAACAACTACAGTTTGGGCAGAATAAAATGGTACCATATTTTATTTCGTCGCCTTCTCTTCAGCTGCTTACAAGGCAAAAACATTATTAAATGTATCAGATTGAAGTTGTCTATCAGATAGATTAACCGATCCACATTGTTGTGCAGTACGGTACGATAAACCTTCATGTGTACAGCAGAAATGCCATCCATGTCGTTGATCAATAGAGAAGCAATTTCGTCAGTATAAAGACGTAATTGCTTCAATTTGAAAACTTATTCTATCAGCTGAGTGACCTCACTCCAGTTGATGATGACAAGAAGAGCTGTTTGAATCAAATCTAAGCTCGTCGACGTTGCAAATCAGTACCTCATTTCTCCAATGTCATATTCAAAAGTCCTTTCTGAAGAGCATCTAAGAGCATTGAAAGCTCTCAAGAATAATGACAAAATTTATATATATGTATATATTATTACTGTATGTGTATATTGATCGATTGATTTCTGTTTAAAATGAACTCTGTGTAAGTATGTTAAATTGCTTTTGTAGATGCACTTAATAATGTTTTTGCCTTGTAAGCAGCTGAAGAGAAGGCGACGAAATAAAATATGGTACCATTTTATTCTGCAAAATCTGTAGTTGTTGCTTTGTTAAAAAAATAAGTATTTTATATTATGATAAAGACTCTTAAAGGTAAAGTTGTTCGGTAATAATCGTAGTGGTGGGGCTTGTCCCTGCCGAATTATTATCATTCACCTCCTAAGATCATCCTTAAAAGAACGTATTATTGTGTTCACTGCCAACTATTCGTCTCAAATGTGATACTAAGTTTTGCTAGCTGGAACTTTATGAATGTATATGTTTATTGTGTTTCTGAAATATGCATACAGTTTTAATGAGTTTAAATTATTGACTGGATAACCGATTGAGGACATTGTTTTGGTGGGGGACAGTGACGTTGAGAATGGTGGGGATGGTGGTACTGTGTTCGTGTTTCAGTGATGTCGTCATTAGTCACTGAAATTCGGGTAAATCTAACGGAGAAGTTTTAAAAATTACACTGCTACTGGCCACCAATCAAAATGTGTCTCAAAAATATGTATACATGTTTAGACTAGTGTGTTTTTGTTATGGCATTAATTGGTCGTCTAAAGCTTATAGTATCTTGTTTTTTTGTATTCACCTGTTAGTATCAACCATAATTTCATCTTGCGTAATAAAAAGTGCTTTGGTGGTTCAGTGGTAGAATGCTCACCGACCACGCGAGTGGTCTGGGGTTCGATCCCCGACCGACTCACTCCTAAACCTCACTTAGCCGACAGTAAGCCCTGTAAAGAGAGAAGGGTGGGTGTGCGCTTAGCAACCTTGCCCCGCAAAAAGACACCACTGACACTGAAACTGTAAAAGCTGAATGTGCTTGAAACCCGATGTTCCACTCGGAACGCAAAGGATTAAAATAAAATGGTAAGCATAAAAGTACGTAATAGCTGTAAGACTATAGATAAATTGTTTAAAAGAGTCCTTATGCGAATGTTTTCCACGCTGCAGAGATAGATTGGTTAACGGGATTATGAACATCTGTCAAATAAAAAGTAGCCGGGAAATAATGATATTTACAATAATAGTAATAATAATAATTCATACAGACGAACATGGTACTCTACATTTTTCTGACTGCCGGTAACTACATATTGCTTATCATCTCCACTCTTATTCTGCTATCATAAAGTGACATCTGTAATGGGCCTCGTAAGTAGCATAGGAGAAGTTTAGTATGCATAGGTCTGTATTGTTTTGTAATACGAGTTCAGTAAAAGAAAAGCCAACATTTCATTAAGTTAAGAAGCGTTACTTAACAGTTCTTTGAATTCTGTGTATAGATAATAGTTCTCAACTGCTACGACTAGTATGAAATTGTTTCATTTATTGAAGACAACCTTCCTAATGCCTATGTAATATCACCATTGAATGACTATATTTCATACAATGTCCCATGTGGTCCAGCGGTAAGGATTCCAGGCTCTCACCCAAGCTACTCGAGATCGACTCTTCCCGACGCTGTAGCGCTTTTGCACATCTGTAATTCAGCCATAGCAATGTCCGCCAACCATGCACATGGTTAGATTCCCGGTTGTAAACCCGACAAAGGAGAAACGTTGGGCGATAAGGCTAGCGGCCTCACCCAGTAAACTAAAAAAAAAAAATAAACACCACTGCCACTGAGGAATTCAAGCCTCAAACCTGAAACCCGATGTTCCACTCGGAACGCCAAAGGTGATAGACACTTTAATTAATAATTTAAAGAGTAGTTCAAATCTGGCATTTAAGACTTTCAGTTACTACTTAATTTTATTGAGAAGTTTATCTCTTCTACTTACTTCAAATTTGGATTTTTTATTTATTTGAAAGGTTCTGAATACGAGGTGGTTTGAAGAAAAAGGGCAGAATGATAATGGAGAGCATATTGCATGTATATATATATATATATATATATATATATATGTATATACATATATATACGCTATTCACTTGGTGGATTCAATAAAGAATTTAAAAGATTTTAAACACACGAGATGATAAACATTCTACATAAATTTACTTTTATATATACATTTATCTTAACGATGAAAAGAAACAAACAATTATAATGGTGATATTCTAGATTATTGTAATTTTTGCCCTACTGTTATTCCTCTTATGGTTATTGCTGTTATTATCACTATCATTATTATTATTAATATTATTCTTTTCTTTTTGCCTAACACGCCTTCACTTTCACCTATTTTTGTCCATTGTGCAGATACTGACAGGTGTAAACTGTGATGTCAGTCTTGTGTATCGTTACTTTTTGTCTTTTCTTTAGTTTTCTACAGGATACCATTATTACACTGCTTACAATACCTTACGTAATTTTTTTTTATTCAACTGAACAAGAAAACCTTGGTTCTTCTTTCGCTTTTCCTCTTTATACCCACGTACAGGAAAGGAGATGAAAGAGGTATTTAACTTTTCTTTACTGAATTTATCGTTTTATGTCTTAATTCCTCTTTTTTTCTCTCAAAGTGAAGTGTTGTTTTCTGCTTCCATCTATAAACAACAACAAAAAAACAAACAAACACAGAATACACTTGGTTCCAATCACCTATTCACTGACGCGTCGTTCACATGCACCCACCAGCATAACAGCTATTTCTGCAAACATCACAGTCTATTGTTTAATGTGATACTGAAATTTTTTTATAATTATGTCCATTATTATTATTATTCTTATTATTATTACTTTTCTTATTATTTGACAATTACAAATAATATGCGTGTAACAGATAAACACCGGGACTTGTTTGATACAAGCTTGTTAATTCTTTTATCTTTCAGACTAACTATCGTCTTTTCTTTTGATTTCAGGTGAATGGTGAATGTGTGTTGTAGCAAACTTAATTTATCGTATAAAAGTATTCGCTTTTCTTATATTATTACTGGTTTTCTTTTGATTACTTGTCTGTCTGGATTCAATATAGTAGAACTTGGCACCGAAGTGCAGCAGTTCGAGTTGCCACGTTCCAAATAGCACACAAAGGTAGACAAGAAGATGAGTGAAAAGAATCAATAGAGTTTTGACAAGTATAAGAGTGAAACAGAGTGGCGTAAGTTAACGAAAGCAGCTCGAGCTTTTTGGATCCGTGCTGGGATTTCTTCGCCAACCAGTCCGTTGGTGCTGATACAACTTCTCAAATAGGTGAAGTGGTCAACATGTTCTGTCACTTCACTTCCTATCACTAAGCTAGGGGTTGACGTAGTCCAGTCCTGTAGCAGCATCTTACATTTTACAGGGGCGAATCGCATGATTACTTAAGGTGGGTAAATTAATGAATTAGGTTGAGACGAGAATATAACTCGATGTAATAGTAGTTCGACTAGCGTCCTTTAGTGTTTACTTATCCAGAGATTTCTCAACTGAGTATTGAAATTCACTTGTGGATCAGTTTTGAACTTCACTCCCATCATCATCAGTGGTTTTATGTATCTGTCGTGTGTTGATGTGTGGCGTATAACTATTTCTTCGTCGTCGTTATCTTGATGTAAATACATCCACAACATTTAGGGTATCCAACCACTAGTTTGTAACAAACTAAATATCATAGATTAGCGACCGATGAATTTATACATCATCTGATCTAAACATGCGTAACTTTTTCTCGCTCTACCTCTACTTCATCAAATAATGCCCTTCGAAAATGGCAGTGGTTTGGCAATTAAAAAAATCTTAAACGTTCCCAGTGGAATATAGAGCTTCAAGCAAGAGACTTGAAGTTTCTGTAGCAGTGGTGTTTTCATTTTTACGGGATGGGGTTGCTAACCTCATGCCCGACCTTCCCTCTTCGCCAGTCTAATCACTGGTCTAGCGAGGTTCAGGAGTGCGTCTGCCGGGGATCGAACCCCGAACTAAATGCGTGGTTTGGCATACACAGCATATTTGCCAGTGCACTATGCATAGGTATTTGAAGTTAATAACTAGTTCAACTGGCACTTATTTGTGTTTCAAAATTCTGAATTGTGAAAAAACCAGTTCTGTGCAGAATGTATGCATTGTGAACAAGAATATGAACCAGTGTTATAGTTTACCAAAATCCACCGCTGCGGTGATTTTTAATTAGTGATTAGTTCCCATCCAATCCTGAAAAATTGAAATATTTAGTTCAGTGAAGTGGTTCATTTCAGCGACTCAATTTCCTCTAGCTTTAAAATCGCACTTAAATACAATTTTCCCCACAAGGGAGAACAGTTATCAAACAGATGAGTTCTCATAATCGTAATTGCTAACATTGGCCAAGAAAAATTGAATTGAGGGGAAAGACTTATGTGATAAAAGAAATCGTTTCCTGAATGACTTGTTATCAGAGTACACACAGAAACAAAAGGGAGTGTGATATCACATAAGAATGGGAGAGTTGGGAACAAAACCATCAATAGGCATCAGAGTAGGAGGGAATACACAATTATCTTTTCTGTACAGCAATGGTAAAGAAAGCGTGCAGTCTACTGCACGCCATACTACGATTCTAATTTTCCGAAACGTTACCTGTAAAATAGAAAAGTAACAGTAAATAATCATAGGTAAATGTATGCTAATCTTTCCTTCCTCAGCAGAGGCCGGTTTCAACATTTCAGGCGTTCTTCATTTGCAGTGGGAAGACAATTTTGAATGTTTCTCAATACATGGTTTGTATTTGAAGGGAAGACAGACTGAACTTCTTCACAGTATATTCCTAATTGAATTGGTGACGTCCGATGAGTCAGAGTCTCCTCTTGCCTCAGAAATATTCAGTAGTGCTGATTGGCGATTTCTCGACAAGAAGAAAAAGAACAGGAAGAATGTCTGATTTCAACCACTGGTGACTACAAATCTTGTCAAACGTAACGACAATTACTGCCATACCATGTTGGATGACGATGGAGGTATATTAAAAGTCGGAAGAGGTTTCAAGTCACGATCAGTAGGTTATGAGCGGCCCAGTGATTACGATTACAAGTGTTCTGAGTTCAAGGAGGACATAATTACTAGCCTGGATTGACTGACGATGAGTTTCAGAAAAGGAAAACGTTTTGAGGTTTGGAAAGGGACGAGAATCTTTTTCTTAAGGTTTTTTCAGTCTCAGACATTCTCCAATTCCACAACGATGTCTGTTTTATGAAGTTCAGAATCTACTATTGATAGGCCTTCCCCAGTCAGAGCTTTGATATTTAGTCGTGAACATTTCATCACTAGAAGTTAACAGTATCTTTATGTCTTAGACAATTGCATACTAAACTGTCAAGTTCACATAGATTGGTTGATACAGAGACAAAGTATGAACCTTCAATCGAGCGAATAATTCAAGGAGGTGTGGTTGTGACATAAGATTGTGCTAAAATATGTATACACGTCAGGATAGACACTTGCAGTACTAATCAAGATGTTATCACACAATAATCAACCTGAAATGAAATAAAAGCAGGAGTTAGAAAATATGCTGAATATAAGAATGAGTGTTGGTGTTATCTGTGGAGAATAAATACCCTACTGATATGTTTTTATTATCATCTAGCTTATTTAAAAATAGTCATGCAATAGACCGTCGTCAGTTCGTTTGCTAGGAGATCTGGCTGTTCGATGTAGTGTTCTGAGGTCTCCATTTTACCTACGGCGTGTTTTGCTTCAGTTGGTAATGTGTCATAAAAACGCCCTTTATATTCTAGCTTCTCACTCTTCAGTTCAGTGCTCAATAGATCATGATCAGCTTCTGTTTTCCTTGTTCCTCTGTACAGTAGTTCATTTTTTGCTAGCCTGTGATGCTCCCCTCCATCAATTCCCGGGTGCCAGCAGTTAGCCAATCCTCATTTTCTGCTTAGTTTGCATGTTTTTCTTTCCAACACGATGCCTATACAGTTTTCTCATCCACGTCGCTTTCAGATATTTTTAGTGTTATCCCATTCAAAGTTTCCTCATCGACGTTGCTTAATGCATCCAATTTTTTTTATGACAGTACTGAAGGTGTCATTTTTGTCTCAGTCTAACTTGTGTCCAGTAAGCTGCGCCTCCACTCTCTTGAGATCTACGTAAAGTCTTACTTTTGTTGTGTACATTTGATGAAATCCTTGTCATCCTGCTCTTGTAAATACTGCCTCCACTGACCAAATCATTAGAGCTTCAGAAGTCTGCAAGGAATTCCTCGTTCTCATTCATTTTGCTCCTCAACCAATATTGAGTTCTTTTCCCGCGCTGTCTGCTCCTGGTTTTGTTTGCATTCACAACATCCATTAGGATTTTGATATCGCTATTTAGTTGTTATCTTGTCTATTGCAACTTGAAGTAATTTGTGGAAGTCCTCCAACTTCTCCATTGCGTCTGCGTTGTTCTAAGGTGCTCAGCATTGTATTATTATTACTACTGTACTTCTTCTTGATTCGAATCTTGCTGTCGTAACTCTGCAGGGCATTGTTTGTTACCGTTTGGGGGCTTTCGAAGCTGTTGGTAATAGTATCATAGCGATGCTTCCAGTGTATTTGTGGTTGTCCTCTGGGTAACTTCAGCTGATTGTCGACTCTTCAGTTAATAATTTAAACAGTCCACTTTCATTCCATCTGCTCTCACAGGTTTATAACGCTTCTATATCTTATCTTCTCATTTTCTTATAAAACTTAAGCAACATTACATGTGAGGACATTCCATATCACCATACTTAATCAGTTTCCATCGGAAGAAGACACATCGATCGACTGGCTTCTCCAAGTCTTCACCCGACCAGCATCGATTCCACTCCAGCGAGAAGTTAGTTTTGTTTTTTTCCAGCAGGGTTTGCTAACACCACTCCAAACCTTCCTTTTTCCTGGCTTTAGTTCTGACTAGTGAATTAGGCGAGTATGGTTCTCATTATTGTTACACCTACTTGTTTTTTCAATACAACATCCAAAAACGACAGCTTTTATTTTTTCTTTATTTCGTAAATATTACAACTGGATGAGCTTTTTAAATTCTTTCAATTAGCCTTTCTCCTCATTCTCGTTCACCTAAATTTCAAACAGACGACCTGCATATCGACAACAGAAATCTAGTTAATTTACTGTATATTTCAAAGAGTCATTCTATAGCGTTCCTAGGATATATCCCTTTAGTGGTAATACCACAGTGATCGCCTATACAACTCTTTATTGAGCAGAAAATGTACAGTCATCGTGAATCCTAAAACAACGTCCCTTACTGAATACCAATCTCTATATCTTCGTTTCTCAGTTTATTACATATATAATCTACTGCTTCGTTCAAAGTTACATTAGTAAATGTGAATACAAAATATCCGAAGATATCATGAACTTAACGTCCACCTTTAACTCTCGGATTCTATCCAAAAAATCAAAACTCTCGTGTGTAAAGGCTGCAATAATTTTACAAACCATCTAGTGGTTGCATGGTATGGTAAGCTAGACATACATAACGAGGACTGGTGTGCTTGGAAAATCTCTTTTGTGAATCTTATACAGGCTATTTAATCTGAATTTCACAGTACTGACAGGTCTAAGTGTTTCACACTAATATGGTAAGATATGGCCTTCACGCCTCAGCTTTTTATTGACTCCATCAACAGTTTTTTCAGTCTTCCTTGTTGGATCACTGCTTGTCAACAATCTGTGAAATTTAAGATGGTTACAAAGTTATACCATTATTTCACTAATGTAGCCAATTGTATCTAAGATAACAACTCCTGAGCCTTCACATATTTGGAGATGATTGCACCCTCATTTGTTTACAGATTCCGTAAACCTTCTTTTGTTTTACTGTTTCCTGGTTAAAATATCTTTTGCAATCAATCCAGCACTCATCTGTTTGTAACAACAGTCAAATAAGGTTGAATTAGACCTATTGATTTCTTCATTTGATGAAGAAACTAGGTCTTCACTCCGCGCATCAAAGTCTCCAAATTCA